TTTTAGATAAAGATGTAACCGTTTGCATACAGTGACCTGGAAGGCCAAAACTTTGGGTTTCTAAGCCACCGAATAAAAATGATTGTAACTGTTCGAAATAGAGTTTTTTACATCTGAAAGTTTCTCAACAACGCCCAGGAAATGCTCTCTTTCAATTTTGAGCAAACTTATCTCAATTCCTGTCAAAGATGTGAAAAAGCTATCAACAGATAAATTGTTCATCATAACATCACAAACATTGAATTAGTTAACACATTTTTTATATCTTGCAAATGAATTGAGATAATTGAGCTCAAACTTGACAGTGTTGGTGCCCTTCCATTACAGGTTTTAAGGCATATACAGTCATTAATTTAGAGCAATTACAGTAATAATCCAGCATTTTTAAATGAAAAAAATTAAGCCATCTACGCAATAAATCTTCAGGTGACAGTAAGATTCGCAGCACCAACAGTATCCACAAACGAGAAGATTATTCTGTCTTCAATGTTCCATTCACTCTTCACGATTGCCGTCCAGTTATCTCCTTGTCCCAAAAGTTCTGGAGTTGAGGTTCTCGAAACGACGCAATTCAAATTGTTCTGTCTACAAAGTAGGACTGGTGAGTCTCCAAATTCCTTTCTGAGCATCAAAAATCTGACTTTCCAGGTGTCAAATTCGTAGTAATCACCTCTGCCGCGTCGAACATTGCTGCTGATTCGTTACTTTCGAAAATGTATGAATTGTACACGGATTTCGCACTGAAGAACCCCTTCTATTCCATCGATATGCCAATTCGAGCTCAGAAGTTTGATGAAGCAATCAAGGTGCTTTTGGAGAAGGCTGAGAAAAGCAACGGAGCTGTCACCTTCTAATTGTCTTTCTTGATTTTATGTGATAATTTATATATGTATTAGAAACGGGTCGATATATAAAACTTTTTATAAGCAAGATTTATTTATTCAGTGAATTTAGCATAAATGCAAAATTTGAAAGCAGGAAAACAGTCAGATTTATGTGTGTTTGAGACAGAAATCAATCACATTGATTGCGAAAAAAGAGGAAGCAGAGATCGGTTTGAAGTGAGCGAGACCGGGGAAGCTTTGAGATTTGGCAAAGAAAAAAAGAAACAAAAAATAAATAGTTAAATATGTACAGCAAATTTATACAAGCGGCGAATCATCGATCATGATTGGGGCAGGTTCATCGGATGGCGTAGCGGATCCGGCTGAGATTGGAAGAAGTTCCATCTCAACCGAGGTTTCTTTCTTTTCGAATGGTTTGTTTGGGATGTGCTGGAAATATATTACGCTGGTCTAACTTTCGGCCGAAAATTTGAGGGTGGGTGGAGCTTAGGTCCGGTAGCGACATTCTTAAAGGCGCATTCAAAGGAGCATGTATTTTAGAATTTTTTTGGTTTTTTTTCAATTTTTCCATGCAATTTTTTTTTCAAATGTTTGTTTTTAAAAGTTCAAAATCGAAGAAATTCATAGAAAAAATGGGCCAGAAAATAATTACAAAAATACATGTTCCTTTAAATGTGCCTTTAAGGATTTCGCTACCGAACCTAAGCTCCGTTCACCCTCGAATTTTCGGCCGCTTTGAAATTTAAGCTCCACTTCCAAACTGCGACAATTCGCAACCAGTCATTTCGAAACTGGAGTAATACAGACGAACGGATAAATTTCAAACTACAAAAACAAATTTTGGGTTTCAGATAACTGATAGAACACATTTTGAAATCCGAAAAAATCCTGATTTTCATTTAAGAAATTTTTTTTTAACTTTTCGAGCTCAAAATGAAATTCTATCAGAAAAATCATATTCGAAAACCCTGACATTGTTTTCCTAGTCTGAAATTCATCCATTCGCTCGTGTTCTCACAGTTCCGAAGTGTCGCAGTTTCGAAGTGACGCGGAGCCGAAATTTGACCACCGTAATGGTTGGAAAATGAATATAAAATTAGAACTTACATGAGCAAACTCATTTCCATAGGTTCGGAAGCGAACGGATTCTCCTCGGGTCCACGCGATCGTTGGAGAACGGTGGGACTGGAAAACACATTGGATGATGTTTTAAAGATAAAAAACAAAAGAATCCTCTGGACAAGTCGAGAAAACTAACCGGAGTTCCTCCTTCACCCGAGCCTGCTCCATTACGAAGTAGGGGATCACTTGGATTAATTTCGGATTCACCAGTGTTTGCTCCATTCTCTTCCTCTCTGACATTGGATCGAGTGTTGGCTGAAAATGTTTCAATTGAAATTTCAGGTCTCTGATCACCTATCTCCACTACTCACCAAAGCTTTTATTCATCTGAGAAAAACTTTTGGTTCGATTCCATGGTCGTCTCGGATTACAACACGCCAAACGACGGAACTCGGTCATACGGAAATAGCAAAGTGGCTGACAGACTGAATGAACTCCAATGAGAACTTGAAGCCACCAACGGATGAGAGTACTTCCATGAGTGATTTGAAGGAAATTGTTGATATGAAGAAATGAAACCATTTGGATTCCGGAATATGGACAAAGGAAAAGAAGATCGACAATGAGAACAGAGCCAATGACGTAGATGTACTTGTGACGAGACATCGCTTGGACACTTTTCCATTTTGAACCTCTGCTTCCATTCGAACAATTTGATCCTTGTCCATTGATTGGTCTATGAAGAGATCGATTATGGATACGGTGAGATTCATCATTGTTCAGGCATCCTTCATCTTTGAACTTTCGTATTGTTCGAAGAATTGAAAGATAGCAGACTACAACTGTTCCCAGGGTGACAAAGCAAAGTGTAGAGATCAAAACCATTGTAATTGTGGCTAAATCGATTCCTCTTTCCTCTGGTGGAAGCCAATCTTGAGGGCTTTTAGATGAAGAGTAAAGGATTCCGATTGCCATCATTATGCTTACTGTCCAACTGAAAGTTTAAAAATTGTTTAATTTTGACTAAAGTATAGACTCACCAAATAGCTAGAATAATCAGGACGAACTTGCGTCGGAAATATCGACGATAATGGAGAGGATAACGGATTACGATGTACTCGTTTGTTGTGAAAACCAGAAGGTTGAAGATGGTTAGAAGATTGCAAAGACGGAGGATAACAAGAGCAAATCTGGATGCCTGGAAAAAAATGACCTAGAATATAGCAAAAATCGAACGCGGTCGCCTGTCAGCCGGTCGGCGGTCGACGGGCGGTCTTCGACCGACCGAAATGGGACCCTTAAGTTAGCGAAACATGGTCTTACTTGGAACAGTTTGATACGAGTGCTGATATCCAGATGGATGTTGTAGAATGAGTTTGCAAAGTAGGGTAGACCGTAAAGCTGAAAATTGTTTTTATTCCCTAACTTCAACATACAGTATATTTCAATAAGATATGCGATTTTCCGTTAGTTTTTGGTCATTGTGATCATTTTCAAGAGCCTGGAGCTCAGCTGTCAAGGTTTCGATCACATTTTTCAAAATTTTGGACCCGGCTCGTCTCGTCCGAAAAAAGCCACTTTATGGCCTGTAATTTTGTTCACAGGCAAGATACAGTATTCCGCGTAATATCATTTTCTAGTACTCGTCGAGCTCCATCATATTTGATTTAGTTGGTCTGAAAATAATGATTCTGAAAGAAACTATGGCAGGGCCCGCGAAGACCCGGGAAGGGCCCGGATTACGAGTATGGACCTAGAAATAAAACTTTGCATTCGCAGAATTTTTTGAAAATTCCTTTTTTTTCAGCTATTTTTCGATTTTAGACAGGCACAAATTTTGGCCAGTTTTTTTACTGAAAACGTGAAAAACAGGTGTTTTTCAGAAATCGGCAATTAGCTCAGAAAGGGTGGTGGGACTTCTATTTTTCCGGCCATTTTCCGAGATTTTTCATCAGAAAATTCGGTAAATTGCTGTTGAAATTTCGTAAAAATCCTATCATTTCATTGAATTTTCACTGAAATTGAGCAAGTTTTTAGGAAAAAGGGTGTTTCAATAAGTTTCTCTGAAATTATGGAATTTTCGACCTATTTTTCACTGAAAACGGGCGGAAATTCTCAATTTTAAATAACACATTTTGAAAGGTGGTTTCCTATTTTTCCAAGCCGCTCTCAGAGAGCCTTTTTATTAGAGGGGGTCTTCTATTGAATGGGCCCTTCTATTAGAGGTTTTACAATTTTTGCCGATTTCTGAAAGACGCTTATTTTTTAAAGTTTTCAGTACAAAACGGACCAAGAAGGGAATTTCGGAACTCGGCAAATATCTTTCGGAATTCGGCAAATATCTGAAAAACTAGAAATTTCCAAAAAGCTCTATAAATGCAAAGTTTTGAATCTAGGCTAAGCGTCGATGAAAGTTTTGTATATCTCACTGATCGGTCCTGTAACTAAAACCTACAATAAGACAAATTCCTCTAGCCACATCGAGTATTGCACAGTGAAGAACAATGACATAGAAGACGTTGGAGAGAACTCGCCGACGATGTCTTAGCAATGCGATAATCACGAATAGATTGAGAATCACGGATAGTGCTCCAAGGTGTCCGCACAGGAACACCGCCGTTGTTGCCATCTGAAAATGCAGCAAAAACGTGACAAGAAGTAAGGGAAGGAGAATAGAAAATAAAGTGTTGGGAAGAAATTGGATTTCGGGCTTGAGTTGTTCCGGAAACAACAACGTCTTCAGGAGCTCTCACTGAATGAAAGAATGAATGCGTAGGAGTTTCAGAATGTTTATATACCGATTTCAGTGGACTTTTTCGTTTTGAAGGATTGATCAACCGTACACCGAGTGCATTCATATCAAACCGAATGAGTATTCCGAGAATCTCGCGTGTTTACTTTGGGAAAAAAGTAAAATTTTCCATGCGAAAATAATAAAAATTGTGAGTACTTTGTCTGGAAGTTCTTTTTTTCCGAATATGTGTACACATACTAAAACTGAGAGCATAAACTTGCACGTATATGAAGGAGATGATAAATGAAGTAGAAAAGAAAAGGAAGTTTTTTGTTGGGGTCCCCCGAGACATTGTCATTGGATATCTGGAGAGTGATGAATCAGAATAATGCCCTTGCTCAATGAATAATGGATGATATGGTTTTTGGTGATCGCTTTGATCCAACAAAAATGAAATTGAAGGTTTTTTGAACAGTTTTTGAACATCTACAATTTATCCATTGTCAGTCTAAAACCTAGTTTTGAATAAAAAGAAGGTTCCTGTCTGAAATCGAGCACACACCCAAATCAGACCAGGGAGCACGGAACACAATAATATTTTCGAAATGTTCTTTATGCTCAAAACTACCTCCTAGATTTAATTTGTAGCTCAGCAATGCGTAAAATTCTGCTGTACTTCCTATATCCAGATTTCAGCAGTTCCCGAAATTGACGTCAAGACATATTCCTTTCGAGAAAACCAACAAAAAATCTCGGTGCCTCATGCTGGAATCGAACCAGCGACCTTCTGTTTACTAGACAGACGCTCTGCCACTGAGCCAATGAGGCGCACGGGAAAGATTGTTTGAGGTGCGTATAGAAACGACCGGCGCGACTGGTGAGATAAGACTGGAGTACAGGGAAAGGAAAGCGTGTATGTCGACGAAGTTGAAATGAATTGCGATGTGGAAGGCGAAAAAAGGGGAATGAGCTGATGGGAAACAATTGCCGGAGGCAAAGAAAGTGATATATCATATTTAGGTCACTTATTTTCTGTCAATGTATTTAGAAGCAGAAGACGTGACACTATGGATGGGTAAAAACAGAATGAGAGACAAGATGAAAAGCAAAAAAAAAGAACGGATTGTTCTTGTGTGGAGAGTACTTAACACGAGAAGGAGAATTTCTTTGCTGTTTTAGGATAAAATTCAGATATGTGTGAAGAATGAGGGTTTGAAAAGGAGATGGTTTCTAAATGTTTCAACGGTAACTTTGCAAACTTAACCGTTACGGATTTCACGAAGTCTCACCGATTTCCAATCCGTGATTTATCTCGATTCCTATGCAAGGTATAAAAAATTTGTCAACTGATAAAACGTTTGTAATATTATGATTAACAATTGATCAGTTGAAACATTTCTGATAGCTTTCCTAGGAAGCGAGATAATTGAGATCAAAGTTAAAAGTTAGAGGGCCTTTTTTTAAGGGGTTTACGGTAAGAGAGTCATAAACTGATAGTGAGAAAGAATAGTTTATTGAGCTTGAAGATAGAACAAATCATCGAGGAATTCCTAGTTTCTATATAAGATAGACAGGGTGAATCCGTACTTGATTCTTGAATTCTCAGAATTTTCGTTCCGGCTTAAAAAAACAACTGAAAACAATTCAATTCTGGAAACCAGTATTACTGGAATCGAGTTTGTTTCACATAGTAAGAAAATTTGGAAAAAATCACAAACTATCTCAATAAAACATTCGAAATTCGAAATTCTGGATCATCAAAAATCACTGACCACTAAAATTCAGAGAAGACTCTCTTCTTCATGAGATCAGAATTTTTTTTGACTTAACGGTGTCTGAGAGGTTACTTCCGAAACTAGACATCGTCACTTTAATCAGATGAATTAATTATGAGAAAAATAAAAGCAGGAAATCCAGCTACAAGGATTGGAAGTTAATTAACCGAACTTTTTTTGAAAAATTGTTTTTAATTTTGAAAAAAAATTCTTTAAAAATTCAAGTTCAGCGTTCTCGATTCGTTTCACTGATCAAATTGGTCCCTTGGTTGGAAACGGCAACAAAAAAAGAGAAAAAACGGGACAAATGGGACAAGAAATAGAAACAATCGAATTTTGTAGAGACGACGGGAACAACACATACTGCACTTAACCCGATTGTGTGACGTGGCAATAACTAACCGAAGGCATATCTTCTCGCCTTCTTCTTTTTGTCTTCTGGAGAATGATGATGATGTTCTTTTGAGGATCCGGAGAAAGGAGTAGGAGGAGGAGCACCACCCGAAGATCTGTGAGCAAACAAGATTTGGAGCAGAAGAAAAAATATAAGCAAAAAAAGAGTAGAAAGCAAATGACGAAGAGTTGATACATATATGAAAAAATAAATGGAAGGAAAAAGGAATATGGGTTTGGAGATTGAGTTTAACGAATCCGTGGAAATTTTCGGATCTGTGTTTTTTTTCTTTTTCTTTTTGGTTTTTTTTGATTGATTGCACTAGGTGAACGGTGAGAAAATGAGTAATAATTTGAACTGATTTCTATTTCTAAAAATTTTTGGATTAGGTGGATTAGAAATTTTGGGATTGGAGAAGGATTTATAACACGAAATTGGTAAAAAACAGAGTTGAACAACAAAAAGTTTGAAAAATGTTAACCAGCATGGTGTAAAACCTGTATTACAATGGTTCCCACAGTGTCAAGTTTGAGCTCAATTATCTCGGTTCCTGTGAAAGATGCTAGAAATATGTCAACTGACAAAAAAACTTCTAATATTATGACAAACAATTTGTCTGTTGGCAACTTTTTCATATCTTCGACAGGAACCGAGATAATTGAGCTCAAAGTTAAAAGTTAGGTTCTCTTCTATTTCAGGTTTTACGGTACTCCTAACTTTATGATTTGCCAAAATTAGACAATCGCTGAGATGTTTTATTCAGTTTAAAATTTTCGGTAAAAACAAAACAAAAACAGCTTTCCAACAAAACTTGTTCATTTTTGTCAAGTCGAAGAATTGAAAAAACTGAGCTCGTGACATTAAGAAGACGTTTCACCTTGGATACATGGGCCCATCTAATGAATCTTCTTTCACATAAACTGGGAAATTTCGAGAAGAGATAAAACTTTTGAAATAGATGCAAAATAAAAACACAGCGGATGAATCCAGGTGACTTCTATTGATGCCGGAAGGCGAACCGGAAAAGTAATTTTGCAAGGGTTGTATTCATTTATCATTCGGTTGTCAGGATTGGTTCAAAAATCAGGTATGGAAACTATTTGAATAGAATTTAGAGTAGTCGGGAAGTTTTTGTTGGTCTCTTTAAAAGAAGTTTCAGCCAAAAATTCGGCTCAATTTTATAGACAAGTTTAATTTTTTGTACCGAGAACTCGGTATCAATTGATGCGGCAGAAAAGTGAACTTTTTGAAAATGTCGTCAGTAAAGAAATGAGCAAAAAGAGAGACAATAGGATTAGAAGGATTAGGTTTAAAAATTCATCGTCATACTCGGTAATCCTTGAAAACGATAAATTATGTGAAACACCGGAAAGTTAACTTGTGTTCCAATTTTTTCATATTTTTTACTGAATTCAGAAGTTCGAAAATTCGAAAATCTGGTTAATTTTTCATAAATCAACGATTTTGGAAATTCGGAGATTCAAAAATTTCAAAAAATTTCAGAGACTCACAAATTTTACCATTCGAGAAATTCCGAAGAAAGTTCAGAATTATTTTCTAAAAATTGAAGGATTTTAAAAATTCTACTGTAGTATTACGGTTATTCGCCTTCGAGCCCATTTACACAACATCCCGAAAAAATACCAAGGGAGTACACAAGAAAGTGTTTCAGAGGTCCCGAATGAATCGACACGTCGTCAAGGAGCACTTCTTCGTTGCGATGGGATATGGAGCCCATTCAAAATTTCAATTGACATTTTCTTTCTTAGAAAAGGAGTGGGATGAAAAAGAAGAAGACGCTAATGGAATAGAGCTCATAAATTGACTTTTGGTATACGGTAGTCGCCTACGATTATAATTCGTCGGTGGATATCAATATAACAAACAACTTTATAACAAACAAGTTGAGAGTTGCAAAAAGAACAAAGCCGGAAAATCCGGTTAAATATTTTTTTGTGAAATCCTAGATATATTGATGTAACATATAGATGACTAGGATTTGCTTCAGCAGGTTAGGGTTATTGAGACAGGAAGTGACGTTATTAACTCATTGAAAAGGAACATAACTCATCAAAAAGAATAGGCATGACCTGGTCTCATAATTAAAAGAACGCCCATGGAGTTTCTTTAGGTCAAAACACGGGTTTTTTCAGCGGAAGAAAAACCTTTCATCGTCAGAAAAAAGATATAAAAAAGAAACCTATCAACACAGAGAGTAAGTCGGATTGAGGCACTTCAATTCGAACTTTGACGCCTTCTTCCCTTTTCTTCTTTGCTTCCGTCCCTATTGTGAGTTGCTTCTCTTTCGGTGTACACACGAAAGTTGTCATCTTTTCGTATGCGCCTTAAATTAGCATTCTAATATCTTCGTACTTCGATTAAAATGCGAGAACTTTCAGTGTGAGAGTGTGAGACGGAAATAAAAAGAAATCCGTCGAGCCGGATTCGAACCAGCGACCTAAGGATACCCACTGACTCTACAGTCCTCCGCTCTACCAACTGAGCTATCGACGGCACGGGAGACACGCAACCGCATTGCCATTATCATTTCGCGGAGGACAGGCAGCGAAGCATATGATTTTCCGGCAGGGACACATGTGTACACACTATCTTCACTGAAGATGTAGATGTGGATATCAAAAAGACAAAGAATATGAAGAAGTAGGAATCATTTAAAATTCCTAAGAATGACGAGAGTCGAGAGAATTCAAAGAACTGAGTAAAAACCGGAGGGAGAACATTTTTCCATAAAATACTTGTTCGGAGAGGGGAGAACATAATCGCATCCTGCTGCTCCAGAAATAAATGGGGGTTAGAAACACTCACCGTCTCTTGGCTGTAGTTTTCATAATATGGAATTCGAGTGACGAAATGATAGTCCGAGATATTGCCGTAATTCTGAAATGTGTGTTTTGAAAATATCGTTCGATGATGAACTAATGTTCTCTACCATGTTTTAGAAATTGTCAGAGTGGGCAGTCAGTATAAAATGACGTTCTTCGTCTCACCCATTCAACTTGGTGGTAGAAAAACATCAATTTTTCATAAGAGCTCCCCTTGCAAAAACGTTGGAGTCTAATTACAATTGTTTGCTATTCAACCGCCGTTAACCCAACCGTTTCTTCTGTCACATTTCTACCCTTTTTTCATTTATCAATTGACACGAAATGGATTCCATTGAAACCTCTCTGTACTACCATTGTTTTGTGTTCTCGGAAATTTATTTTGTGGACCGAGTGGAGAGCTCAATGAGCAGATATTATGCACACATAAAAATACGGGTACCTAGAAGGAAGGACCACAGATTTCTAGCTGAAAAATTAATCTTATTTTGTCCCGCTCTTCCGAGGGGACTCCAAAAATTGGTGATAATACTCACAGTTTGCTCCTTTGCACGGAAATCTTTAGTAAAAGGCGAAAGATTTTCTCGGTTAAATGCAATGGAACCAGAGTTAATTGTCAGGAAAGCGAGCGGCAGGTCATGCGCGGTAAGTACCGACATCTCCCGGGTTCCGCGCGTCACTATGGTTTCTGTGGGAAAGGGGCGGAGACTAGGTACATGGCGAAGTGGAAGGTATCGGAAGGGGTAACGATAAGATATTAAGGTTTATTCGATATTATTCTGGCACAAAAAAATTTGGCCGAAGGTTCTACAATAACCTAAAAATATTTTTATTTTCAGATTTTATTCACAGGTAAAATGCGGACGGATCCGTTTCGGTGTTCACTAGGTTTTCTATCCGTAACGGGTCCGTTTCGGACATTTTCGTGAATCTGAGTCCGCGAACGTATCAGTTTGTTCATCATTCGCAATCGGATCGGATACGGAGTTCGCGAACGGATAGAATACGGAGGAATACGAAATAATGTGCTGTGGTTTTCTGAAAACGGGTCGCGTGCGGTATGCGGTTCCTGTTTCAACCGCGCGCGAACGCTGAGGGTCCGTAACGGATTGTTCGCGAATCACCTGTGATTATACTGATTTTCGGGCGCTTTCAGTGAATTTTCTCACTATCACTTCTTGATTTTTTTGGGGAAAAACTACAGAAAATTCGACGAAAAGCAGTAAATAAACGAGAAAATAAACCCGGAAAATGAAAATATATTCAGGTTACTTTAGCTGTCGTTGTGGGACCTTCGGCCACGACCACCGGCGTTTCTCTTCCACAGCTTCGATTTTTTGTACATTAGGGCAAAATTAGGACTTTTTCGGTGTGTATGGTATAAACTTAAAACTTTGAAAAATCCGGAAATTTTTTCGCAGCAAGACAAGTTTTTTGTTCTAAAAATAAATGAAAAAAAGCTCACCCAGTCCATGGTGGAATTGAGTACATCCTCGTGGTGCTCTCCCAACTGAGACGACGGCTCCTGAAGCATGGAGACAATAAGAGGATCGGTGACCGCCTGAAATAAATTCCCAAAGGTTTTTTTGTTGAGAGGAAAAGGAAAGGGTGGAAATCTGATTAGTGCACAGGGTCTCGAATGGAAATTGAACCAAAATGTCTGTATTCTGAAATAGAACAAAAACCTTTTTTCTTCGTTTTCCTTCCTCGTTTCCTTCTCCCACCCCCGTACCACGTCAAATGATGAGACAAAACAAAGAAGGAGATGTTGAGAAGAATAGGTTCAACATATATTGAAGAGATGAGTTTTTCAAGTGATCCCCATTTTCTTACCTCTTGTAGACTGATATTCGTCAGAATCGCCTCCATCGTCGCCATTTTCAGATACGATGATCAATGACGACGACGAAGGATGGTGATGAAGTAGAAGAAAAAGAAGAAGACGTTGACGATTTCAGATTCTCGTGATGACAGACTGAATGCCTCGGGCAATCTGCAAAACTCATTCAATTAGAATAGGCGAAAATAAGTGGGGGAGAAAGAATAGGAACGAAAGGGGAATTCGAGGGATCTAGAACGGCAAAGTTTGGTAGCAGAAAAGAAAAAAATTGTAATACCTGTAATAGAAGAGCCCCCTAACTTTTAACTTTGACCCAATTCATCTCGGTTCATCTAAAAGATATGGAAAAAAATTGTCAACGGATAAATTGTTTATCATAATATTTTATTTGTTGACACTTTTTTTGTTGATACTCTCTTTTTGTTGATAACGACGGAGATAATTGACCTCAAATTTGACAAGGATCCCTTCTTTTTTCGTGGGGGTCTCTGAGGGGGCCTTTCAATTAGAGGGGGCACATTCATTTTTTGCGGCGCCGCTGAGGAGAGCACTTCTATTAGAGGGACATCAATTTTACGGGAAAATTTTATTGACTGGATTTCAACTGAGAAATAACATAAAATCGACAAAAAAACGACAAAAAGTTTAGAAAGGTATATTAGGTGTGCAAAAATTATACTATCATAGGTTATCATAGTATCAGAAGTGTTTTGTCAGTTGTCACATTTTTATATCTCTTACACAAACCGAGATAATTGAGCCCAAACTTGGTTTGACGGTAAAAAGAAGTACATGTTTTAAAATTGAGGTCTATCATTCAAGATTTCAAATTTCCATGAAGTTGAACAAACTGAATATGTAGTTCCGTTTCTGATAAAGAACATCATCTTCATTTTTTTTCATTTAGGCTCATTTCATTTCCGGAAAGCTCAAAATGCGATTAGGGAAGGCTTGTGCCCATTTCCTTGGCCACCAAATGCACTTAACGGCAAAAAAAGAACAGCGATACATGAAAAAAGGAAATAAAGGAAAATGAGCCCTCGATTTGGTGTAGATTTGTTTCTGTAGATGTTGCTTTTGGGGCCGAAGAAGGAGAAGGATAAAACAAAAAGATAATTGGGGAAAGGAGAAGAAGAAAAGAAAGAAAACGGGAGGATAGGTCATTTGCATAGATTAACGGGTTGATTTTAAACGGGCCAGATTTATTGAGGGCAGGAGGAGAGGAAAAAAAAGAAATACGGGAGCAACATGTGGATGCGTTGATTTTTGATTCAGGAATAGGAAGGAAGAAGGATAGAGAGGCGAAAGACTGATGAATGAGAATAAAGAAGAAGAGGACTGGAATTGATTGTTTTATTTGAAACCAACATGTAAGCTAGAGAGCTTGTACAGTAACTACCGTAATTCGTCTACAAGGAGCCCACCGAAATAGTCAACTTTGAGCTCAATTATCTCGATTTCTGTGATAGATATCAAAAAATTGTAAACATATGAAATATTGGTAATATTATGATAAATAATTTATCAGTTTACCGATTTTTGATACCTTTTACAGGAATCGAGATAATTGTGTTCAATGTTGGGAGGCTTCTATTAGATGGAATATGGTACTACAAAAATAAAGGGTAGTTCGAAATTGCTAAGGCTTCGCCTTCTGAACGTAATCGACTAAAAAGGGACTAAAACTTTAAATTCCCGTCTGTTAACTTCAATTTTTGGTTTACCTCAAGAACACCGTCGGTATTTTAAAAAAGTAAAACCTGTAATAGCAGAGCCTCCGCAGTGTAAAGTTTGAGCTCAATTATCTCGACTCCTATAAGAAAAGATATTCATAATGTGTCAACTAATAAAACATTTCTGATATCATAAGATAACAAAAAAATTATCAGTTGGCAACTTTTTTGTATCTCTGATAGAAGCCGATATTAATTGGGCCAAAGTTAGTGGGCCCTTCTATTGCAGGTTATGGTATGTTTTGCCGAAATCTGTCGATAGGCTTGATTATCTAATTCAGTTTTAAACCTTCATTTATTTGTTTATTTCTTTTTAGTTGATTCTAAAAACAAAACTCAAGGAAGTTTATTTTGTAGTCTTTTCCAATTCTCTCTCTCTCCCTCTCTCTCTCTCTTTCTTCTTTTTTATGACGCTGAAATATGCAATATATGGAATGTCCGTTGAAGTGCATTAAAAGGAGCTCAATATGACTCTCATTTTTCGTCGGAAATAAAAATTCTACAAGAAAGTGGAAAATTCAAACAGCTCCTTTTCCCTTTTCGTCATCTTTTTATACATCTTTTTCATGACCGATATCCATTTTTCACTTAAAAATTCAAAGAAAAAGAAAAAAGAAAGCGAACGTGAAGTTCCAGAATTTTAGATGAATTTATTCAGACGGAAGAAGGGAACGACACGTTTTGAGGAGAAGAAGAAAAAGAAGGAATTTCATATTTCAATATCCTTGATACTTGCAAAAACCTCTTCGTTTATACGAGAACGAAAATCTACTTTGGGTGAGGGACAGGGAAATTAGTGAGGAGAAAATATGAATGCGTTGCTGTACTTTTGACGGATTACTGTATTTTTAAGATTCTGAGATTTCAAATTCTGAGAAACTGATTTTCTGAGATTTTGAGATTTTGATATTTTAAGATTCTGGGATTCTGAGATTCTGGAATCCTAAGATTCTAATATTCTAAGATTCTGAGATTCTGAGATTTTGAGATTCTGAGATTCTGAGATTCTAAAATTCTGAGATTCTGAGATTCTGGAATTCCGAGATTCTCAAATTTAGAGATTCTGAGAATCTGAGGTTTTTAAATTCTAAGATTTAAAGATTCTGAGATTCGGAGATTCGGAGACTCTGAGATTCGGAGATTCGGAGATTCGGAGATTCTGAGATTCTGAGATTCTGAGATTTTGAGATTTGAAGATTTGGAGATTCTGAAATCCTGAGATTCTGAGATTCTAAAATTTTGAGATTCTGAGATTCTGGAATTCCGAGATTCTCAAATTTAGAGATTCTGAGAATCTGAGGTTTTAAAATTCTAAGATTTAAAGATTCTGAGATCCTAAGATTCTGAGATTCGGAGATTCGGAGACTCTGAGATTCGGAGATTCGGAGATTCTGAGATTCTGAGATTCTGAGATTCTGAGATTTTGAGATTTGAAGATTTGGAGATTCTGAAATCCTGAGATTCTGAGATTCTAAAATTCTGAGATTCTGAGATTCTGGAATTCCGAGATTCTCAAATTTAGAGATTCTGAGAATCTGAGGTTTTAAAATTCTAAGATTTAAAGATTCTGAGATCCTAAGATTCTGAGATTCGGAGATTCGGAGACTCTGAGATTCGGAGATTCGGAGATTCTGAGATTCTGAGATTCTGAGATTCTGAGATTTTGAGATTTGAAGATTTGGAGATTCTGAAATCCTGAGATTCTGAGATTCTAAAATTCTGAGATTCTGAGATTCTGGAATTCCGAGATTCTCAAATTTAGAGATTCTGAGAATCTGAGGTTTTAAAATTCTAAGATTTAAAGATTCTGAGATCCTAAGATTCTGAGATTCGGAGATTCGGAGACTCTGAGATTCGGAGATTCGGAGATTCTGAGATTCTGAGATTCTGAGATTCTGAGATTCTGAGATTCTGAGATTTTGAGATTTGAAGATTTGGAGATTCTGAAATCCTGAGATTCTGAGATTTCCAAAATTTTCAGATTCTGAGATTTTAGAATTCTGAGGTTCTGAAATTTTATGATTCTCTCAAAATTTCAGAATTGCAGAATCTAAAAGTTTCAGAATATCAGAATCATCTTATCTTACTTTAGTTTTTTGTTTATCTTTCTGTAGCTTTTTTCTAACTGTGTCTGATAACCTTACTGTAACTTTTAACAAATCTTACTGTATTTTCCTAAACGTTCTTCAATAAATTTTTCGTCATAAAATTTGTGGGCATTTTGTACCTAGATTCATTATAAAGCCTTTACCCTATCACTATTCATGATTTGTTTATATCTAAACCAGAATTATAACAAGGCTCTAGCTCAGAAAAAAACCCTCGAAGAATAAAAACATCTCAAAGAAGAAAACGAAAATTAATAAATGAAAACTGGGAGCTCTATCCTGGTGCACCAATGATTCCATTTCCTTCTTCTTCCTCCTGACTCCACCCAAAAAAAAGAATAGTCATTTCCTTTCAGAATGTCTAATTCATCTCTTCGTTCGGATTGTTCGTCTTCTTCTGCCGAAAGCCTATCACTTCCACCACTTGGTCCAGTGGCTCAAAAGAAACCGATTCAGTACATTGGGGGTAAGTGGGAAGGGTAATGGGGTGTGTAGGAGTCAATTTGAGACGACGAATCGGTTCTTCTGGATCTAATTGAGTCATCAAATGACTATACTATTTTACTCATTCCTTTTACAAAAGAGCCACGCCCTTGGGACGAGTAATTTTTCAGGTTCCGTCAAAGTCGACAAAGAGAAGGTTGCTGAATGGACGAACAAAATTGGAAGACTGTTCGGAACTTACGAGTTGAGACAGAATGTAACTCATCTCCATATGCAATTGATTCCAGCGATTCATACATTGAACAAGGTAGAGGCATGAAAAAGTGGGAAACCACAAGAGGGAACGAACACAGGTCCTGGGCGCGCATACGCATAATGGATGGGCGACGGAGGACGCGCCGATGAATTGGGTACAGGGAAAGGGCGCCGGTATGGGGCATATACGGGGCATATGGGGCACACCGCCGCCGCAAAGCATCTCCTCGCCTGGCTTGCTGGCACTCGATGAAATGAACTAAAACGTTGGTTGGGGGTTCCTAGAAGTATCAGTTAAGTTCTATTGTGATGCGATTTTGTTCAGGTCTTCCGATTTCGTACTTTTCCTTTATTATTCCATATTCTTTTATATATTGAACGACATATTACTGATTTTTCGAAACTCAATGTTTTTGTTTTGAAAAAGATATATGGCAGTTTCTATTTAAATTTGATATGCAAATTCATATTTTAAAAATACAATCAAAAACAGAAGAAAATGGGAAAAAATCGCTAAAAATTGTTTTGCTTTCATTTCAAAAAATATGTCTCACTTTCACTTTTTTGAAATTGCATGAAAAATTGAAAATTTTTATAATTTACACTTTGTAATTATTGCATACTTACCAACTTACCTTTTACTCCACCTGAAAATACGATTTTTACAATAATTACAAAGTGAAATCAAAAAATCTCAATATCACCTATTTTGGCGAAAAACTTCGCAATTAACGAGTGAAAGACATGTTTCTGCAAGAATTCAGCGATTTTTTATTCTGCCATAACTCTTTTTCACAAAAAACATCGAAGGAATAATCGAAAAACCAGAAATGTAGGCTCGAATTGACGAAAAATTGACAAAGTTGCTGGTGTGGATTTACGGTAAACAATGCGCGCATCCGGGATTTCGGAGTGTTGTTGTCGGCCTACCGTATCAGACCCATATCGCACACATCGCCCACCCACCTAGAATCCATCTAGGATACGCGCGCATTCGGAACACTCGATTCAGCCTCTCCCGCATCGCACACATATGAGACTCATCGCAGCTCGTTGTTCGCGATATGTGTCAAACGGACTTCTAGAGGATCGCATATGGATCGGGTCCTTTATGCGCATCATTGCCCAGGAACTGTGAACCCCTGACTTTGTGCGCAAGCCGCCACACCACATCCCCTACACCACACCGGCAACTTCTACACTGTTCAGATTTTGATTATATTTCAGGCATCGAAGTTCGCAAGTGAGAAGTTGAAGAAGGAGATGAAGCAACTCGTCGAACAATACATCGTTTTGGCTGTGGCGTGTGAGCAAATTTTGGAAAAAATGGAAAAGAAGGATGAGCATTACAATATTGAAGATGTTCCAGATGGTTCGATTCTTCTGTATCGAAATTTAGTTAATTTTTTTTTCAAATTTCAGCCATTATTCCGAAGTCGTGACGTTCGAGACAAGGATGAGCAATTGAGGGATTTATGTGTTCCGACTTGTCATTAAAAATATGATATTTGTTGATTTTTTTGTATTTTGATTTGAAATTTTTTTTTCCTGATGTCTTCCTGACTGTCCCATGGGTTAGGTAACCAGTTCCGAGTGATAGTTGAACTCATGATCTGTAGGAATTATCACATTCTTTGATACGTTCGAAAATAGATACATAAATAGGGACAAGAATTCGGAACATAAGAATGAGTCTGAAAATCAACTTCTTGAAAAGAAAGAAGAATTGACTGAAAATGCATTTTGGGGGAAATTAAGGCAGACAAAAATGATGAAGGGAGTGATGAGCGGGTTGGTTTCAAAGGCAGAGAAGAAAACAGGAAAAAAGGGGAAGATGGTTCATAAATACACATACAGTGACAATGCGGAACGGAAAAAAACGCCTCTAATATATAAGATGAAGCCGTTTTACGAAAGAAGAGGCAAGAAAACGCCAAAAACACTATCCGATGTTACACAAGAAAACCATTTGAGTTGGAGGATGGAAGGGGGGAGAGAAAAGAGCAATGAATGAACATTTTATACACTGATTTTTGATACCTCGAATGAAGAAATTTAAACGCAAATTGGGAGGAAATTTGAAGGTAGGGGGAAGTAATCTGACGGTAGATAAGGTAGAATGATAGAAGATGCGACGAGGATGACGGTTTCAGCAAAGTTTCAATGAAAGGACGACTCCTCGACGATGAACCTGAAAAATCTCA